TCCCACACTTCTCCATACTTCTGAGCCTTGTCAGAATCCCACTGCCTTCTGGAATACATTTCTAAAATTTCCCATTCCCAGATCATAAACACAACCACTCATGTTCTCTTTTAAAGCGTCTTAATACTTGCTGTCTGCTTTGGGGTTGTTTTCCAAGCTCACGTTTCCTCTTGACTTCATTCCAGGGCCAGGTTTGAAAGGGTTAATCCCATCTTGCTTGCTGTTCCCCTCCCACACTGCCTTTCATGTATCTAGTTTTGTGTAAACAATTGCTGAGCACAAAGCTGCGTTAGCAGGTTAACCAAATTAATATGTGTACATGAGGTGTGAAACAAGGATTTGCTGGAAATCATCTTTGCAAGAAACTTTTATTTCCCCCAAAAAGTGTTCCTTACAACTAATTTTTCATATTTTTCTTAAGGTAAGCTTCACTGTTTGATGGTTTTGGTGTTTATTTCCTTTTAGGGGTGTTGTCAACATATGGAGATTTATCAGTGAAACTAATCTATAATTTGCACTAAGTCCTGCCACAATCCGCACCATCGTAAAGGGAGTTGTATTTTATGGTGAACCACTTCCTTGCCCGACCTTTAATGCGTGCAATACATATTTCATTAATCTAATTCGTCAGCACTCTTCCACACTCTGCCTGTCCCTAGCAAATTTTGAAACTGTCTGATAATAGCCTCTGCAGCCAGGAGAGGAACGAAGTGACATGGCTCCTCAGAGAGCCCTTCTGTCATTTCTCGTCTGTTGCTAGGATACATTTTGATCACAAGCAATTTGGAAAGGATTGTTTCAGTTTGCACTTCCAGGTAACAGTCCATCATGGAAGGAAGTCTGGATAGAACTCAAGCAAGATCTGAGCCAGGAACCATGGTGGAATGCTGCTTACTGACTCAGTCTGGCCTTCGTTCATGGCCAGGAACCATGGTGGAATGCTGCTTACTGACTCAGTCTGGCCTTCGTTCATGGCCAGGAACCATGGTGGAATGCTGCTTACTGACTCAGTCTGGCCTTCGTTCATGGCCAGGAACCATGGTGGAATGCTGCTTACTGACTCAGTCTGGCCTTCCTTCATGCTCAGACAGTTTTCCTTTTTTTTTCTTTTTATCTTTTTTATTTATTTATTTTTTTAAAGGATCTTCTTTTTTTAAAAATATTTATTATGTATACAATATTCTGTCAGTGTGTGTGCCTGCAGGCCAGAAGAGGGCACCAGACCTCATTACAGATGGTTGTGAGCCACCACGTGGTTGCTGAGAATTGAACTCAGGACCTTTGGAAGAGCAGACAGTGCTCTTAACCGCTGAGCCATCTCTCCAGCCCCAGACAGTTTTCTCATACAACACAGAACCACTTTCCTAGGAGTGGCATCACCCACAGTGGCATGGACCCTCCCACATCAAGAAAAAAAAATAGGACAAGCCAGGTATGGTGGTGCACACCTTTAATCCCGGCACTTGGGAGGCAGGCAGGTCTTTGTGAATTTGAGGCCAGCCTGGTTTACAAAAGGAGTTCCAGGACAGCCTGGGCTACACAGAGAAACCTTGTCTTTGGAGTCCGGGGGGGGGGGGGGGGGGGGGTGGTTAGAACAATTACCAAGAACTATGGCCGGAGGCCAATACGATCTGGAAAATCCCTCAAGTAAGACTTCCCTGGTGACTGCTGCTTGTTAACTGTAGATCTAATGGGAACATCTTCCAACTTGGACATCCCTTCTTTAAAGTCCTGGGGGACTGTCTGAAGAAGGCAGATAGATCTGTGGACACGCGATGGAACGTAGACATCAAAATCTGTGTTGATTTGACTTATAAGAGCTAGTGGCACAAGCCTAAGCTAAGCCAAGCTTTCATAGTTAATAAGTGTCATTATTTAGGGCTGGAAGCCCAAACGAAAGTCCGATTACAGAGGTAGGGGTTGAAATTTATCAAATCACACAGCATGCATGCAGGAAAGTATCAGACAATAAAGAGTAACAAATTATATATTTGGGATCATACGAGCATATCAGGAATAGAGAACATCAAAACACTAAACCAAGGAGAGGGTGCAGCACCTTCACCTGGACCCCATAAAGAGAGGGATAGCCAACATAGCATGGTGACAGCCCCGTTGACCTGACATCTGAGCACCCAGGGTGAAAACCAGAGGAGTAACTCCCAAACAACCCCCAAGTGTCTCAGGGGACCCAGCTTAGTTGAGCTTCCACTGCTAACGCAGCTGACTTTAACTACCATGAGTCTCGCCATTCACGCATCAGGACCTGGTGCTGTGCCTCACCTCCACGGTCATCACTGTCTTGCATCTCACTTGCAGCTCAACCCCGAAGATCCTTCTAGTCTGATTCTGTGGCTTTACTCTGCAGTGCATCGCCAACCCATCTCCAACAAGGTTTGTTATCTGATCTGATCTCACGCACTCACCCATCTCCTCATTCATCCTTGCAAAGGTTCCTTTTGCATCTATTTCAGCTTCTTGCTTCTTCCTTCCAGTTAGGTCTCCTGGAACTCTGCTATAGCCTCTTTAACCCTTTTATAGCTGTGCTGTAACATGTACATACACATATATGCATCTTTGTATTGCAGATAGATTTAATGAATGATATGTAGTGTGTGACTGAAAAATTAATATTAGTAAGGAACTGGAGGGGGAGAAAAGCAAGACTACTTGACAAATTGCAGCCAATAAAATTGAAGCGATTTTTGTTCTTAAAATCTGCTGTTGTGAAAATATGCAAATGTACCTGTTTCTGGCACAGCTTGCTCATGACACCCCCCTAATCAGAAGGCAGAGCTTTACCTCTGGGGCAGGCAGGGGTGGCTGTGAGGGTGGACAAGAAAACCCTGATATCTGTACTAGGATGACACTTAAAACTGTCAGCAGTGATCACATGGTTATATTCCAGATTTGCCTCCCCTAACTAATCATGGCATGTGGCTTTTCTGAACATATTTTCTCATCAGAAAATAGTTTCCTTTTAACTCTTATCAGTTTAACTTATTTCTGTTTTGATGTCCTGACCACTTAAATAAGTATGTTTTCATTATTGTACCTTTCCCTAAAGATATTCTGTCTTTTAAAATTAACTTTATTCTAAAGGATTTATCTGTTAGCACTTTGTTCTAACAACAAAAGTTTCAAGTTCATTTAAGAAATTTTTAGCCGGGCAGTAGTGGCATATACCTTTAATCCCAGCACTTGGGAGACAGAGGCAGGTGGATCTGTGTGAGTTCCAGGCCAGCTGGGTCTACAAAGTGAGTTCCAGAACAGCCAGAGTTGTTACACAGAGAAACCCTGCCTCGAAAAACAAAAACAAAATTAAATTATATGTGTGAGTGTGTGCGTGCTCATGTATGTGTGTATGTGGAAGGAAGCACAGGTATGGCTTAGTGTTCATGTGAAGGTCAGAGGACAATAGTCCTGAGTTGGCTTCTCTTCTTCTACCATGTGGATCCAGCCAGTCTGGAGATTCTCAGTCTTGGAACCAAGTCTCTAAAATCCTTCTGCATCAAAAATACCCAACTGTGATTCACTCTAAATTGTAGTATTGAGCTGTGAAAGACAAATCCCAAAATGCACCACCAAAATTAATGCTGAATGTTTGTTCCCTCCTACTTTAAGTCTCCCAGTCTCAAAAGACTGGCAGCTCTGCGCGATGTTGGCTTGCCCAAGTGCCGTCCTCACCCCCTACCCTCTAACTCTCATTCCCCCACCCCCACCTCCCATCCCCCACCCCCGAGACAGGATTTCTCTGCAGCTTTGGAGCCTATCATGGAACCCAAGTGCCGCCTTTTAAGATACAGCGTTGTGTGTTCAATGGATGGAGTACCCAGTATTTGTGATACTCTCTACCTATATCTGCCTTTCATAGGACAGTGTTCTGTTTTTTGTTCGTTATTGTTGTTTTGTTTTGTTTTATAAGATAAGGACTCATTACTAACCCTGGATGGCTTTGAACTCACAGATCACAAGAGATTCTTCTACCCCTGCTTTAAAGGATTAAAGGCAAGAGCCACCACATCGGTTGGGACAACGGCCAAATTTGCAGATTCTAATGACTCAAGCTCTACCTCATAAATGAAAATTTCCGCCGGGGGCATCAGGACCTTATCCTACAACCTTCTGGCGAATTTAGTGTCTGTCTCTGTCTAATAAACTGCTGTATGCAACTTATGTGTTTGCACATTTTTGGGGTGCACCCACATACTGAGACATTGGGGATGATCTATCGGGAACTCAACAAGGCCAGCTGGACTGGGTCTGAAAAAGCATGGGATAAAACCGGACTCGCTGAACATAGCGGACAATGAGGACTGCTGAGAAGTCAAGATCAATGACACTGGGTTTTGATCCTACAGCACATACTGGCTTTGTACGAGCCTAGGTAGTTTGGATGCTCACCTTACTAGACCTGGAAGGAGGTGGGAGGTCCTTGGACTTCCCACAAGACAGGGAAACCGGACTGCTCTTCGGGCTGATGAGGGAGGGCGACTTGATTGGGGGAGGGGGAGGAATATGGGAGGCGGTGGAAGGGAGGAGGCAGAAATCTTTAATAAATAAATAAATAAATGTAAAGTTTAATTAGTCACTTCTGCTCGCATTATAATATGATGCGATGGAGGAAGGGCGCACATCACTGCCAGCACTGGCTTGTCAGCCTGACGCAGTCACGCAGAGGTCCATGTCACTGTGCCTGTTCGAAAGGTCTGGAATTACTCTAAATCCCGGCGCCAAAACCCAATCAGCCGACCCCAAATGCCAGAGGGAGTAATCAATCACGCTGGAATTTCACGCGACCCGCCCCTCTGTCACCATTGGCAATGGCAGGCACCGCCCCAAGCTAGCGTGGCAGGAAGAGGCGGGACTTCCGGATCTCGGAGCCAATGTCCATGCGGGAGTCAGCCAGTTACGCAGCACTTTCTATCACGTGATATCAAGGGCCAATGACAGTGTGCAGCCGAGGACTCACGTGCCTCCGTTTCCATTGGCAACCCGCGGCTTCTAAACCACCTACTCTCCTCAGGTCCGAGGCGCCGGCCCCCCAGTTTCCTGTGTGATCCCGCCACCGCCATGGTGAGTATCCGCTCCGGAGAGGCCCTGCTAGGGATGGGACCACGAGCGGGGCCGAGCTGGCCGGGCCTCGGTGGAGAAGGGAGGCTGGGATCACCTCGGCCAAGCCTCGGTGACATCATGCTTGGCTTTCGCCGGCCTGGTCCCCTCTCATCCTCAGCCGTCCGAGCAGGCGCACATCTGCCCTTGGGAACCGTTCACGGGCTGGTGCCAACTTTCCGTGCGAGCTTGATTGAGTCTAACTTTCTGCAGCCCCTTATTTTACGGCGGATTCAATATGGGTGGTATTTCCTTTGTTTGGACTTGTGAAGACCGTTAGGCTAGAATGTAACTCCGTAGGAGAGGTTGGCTTACCTTGAAACAGGTAAGACTGGGAAGAATGCACCAGTTCATTCAACAGCTTGCCTGTTTAAGTGGTTGTCTGTGGATAAAAGCACGAAAATGAGGTTGAAGGGGGAGTGACGTTATTGAGAGTACTGCTCAAATGGACTGCCGACATAGCCTAGCAGTCAGGATTCCTAGTAAGCCCTCACTTTGTGTACACCTGAACAAAACAGATCAGTCCTTAACCTTCCTGAGCTTAGAACTAGTCCTGCTTCTCTAGATTTCAACGACGAGAAAATAATGCTAGTGATGCCAGGAAAAAAAGTGCTTGAAAGAGACCCCTGTGCAGCGGAGGTTCCCTCTCCGACCCGGATTAGGCACGAACCACACCCAAACCTGTTTTCACAGAGAGATCATTTATTAAGCGGGAAAAAAAGTCAAAGTGGCTACTTTCTGATTCAGGCAGAAAAGGGGAGCTCTGTGTTAGAATGGGCTAGGATGCGGCGGTATATTTTGATTCAGCATGCTAATTAGGTGAAGGGGCTTTTGACTGAACTTTTTTTTTTTGCACTTTTTAAAATTTATTTATTATGAATGCTGTGCTCTGCCTGCATAGATGTCTGTACGCCAGAAGAGGCCACCAGATCTCATCATAGATGGTGGTGAGCCATGTGGTTGCTGGAAACCCAGGACCTCTGGAAGAGAAGTCGGTGCTCTGAACCTCTGAGCCATCTCTCCAGCACCTGATTGCTGGACTTTAACAGTTTGGTAGCTGTACCTTGACAGCCAGCCTCATGAGGGGAAAGTGGTGGCTGGCTTTAAGAATGCAAGACAGGGGGAGTGGGAAGGAGAGCAAGGCCTGCCAGAGCCATGCTTGCCACACTGAGCTGACCAGGGCCCCTTCAGTACTTGTTTGTGTTCTTACTCTTTTCTGTCAGTTTGACAACTAACACTTGGCAATTGGGCGTAGATGATTCATTACTAAATTGAAAGTTATACAAGGGTTGGTAAAGTTACTCATAAAATAATGCACATAAAATAAAAACTTTTTGGCAGTAGGTCCACTCTCCTGTTTGGCTTTTTTTTTTTTAACCTCCAAACAATGATAGGGCAGCATTCTGGAGGCAGAGAAAGGCAGATCTCTGTGAGTTTGAGGCCAGCCTGGCTTGCAGAGCAAATTCCAGGACAGCCAGTGCTACACAAAGAAACCATCTCAAAAAAAAATCCTTTAAAGATTTCATAATGCATACAATGTATTTAAAATCATATTTACTCCTCCCCCTACCTCCTCCCAGAATGATCTTGTACTTCCTGTTGTTTTTTAAACCTACTTTGTATATGCTGCCCATACAGTTATGGGTGTGAGACCTTCCACTAGAGCATGATCAACCTACCATGGGCCATACTCTTAAAAGGAACTGACTTTCCACCCTCCATATGTCATTGACTGTCCATAACTCCTCAGGAGTGAGGTCCTATAGATCCCTCCTGCCTCCATGGTAGGCTGTTGGTTGGCCTGAGAGTTCCCAGCACAGCAGTCCTGTCATGCCTAGAAGGCACTTTTGATCTGATCCTATGGATCCATCTCTTAGTCCTTTGCTTCCTCTTCAGAGATAGTTTCTGTGCCTTGGGAGAGGGGTGTGGTAGAGCTATCCCAGCTGTGGTAAGCCTACTTATTCTCTGCACTCTGACCAGTTGTGCCTGCTTTAACCACTATCATCATTGCACAAAGAACCGTCCCTGATGAGCTTTGAGAGCTGCATTTACCTATGCAGCATCTTGATTTGGTTATTTTAAGACAGCATCTGGCTTATTACAAAGACTAGTGGCTATTTTCCAACCAAATATACTTTTTTAAGGCTGTATTTGGAAAGGTATAGTTTCTGTGATAGAAATCTGAAAATCAGTGGACTAAAGAATGCAGATGATTAAATTCCCTCTCACATGACAGTCTTCTCTGTGGTGGAATATTGCTTTAACTATGCAAAGATGGGCTGCATTTGTTTCACCCTGCCTGCCTAAGGCACCTGATTGGCTTAATAAAAAGCCAGTAGCTAGGCAGTAGAGGGATAGGAGAAGGAATCTAGGCTCGAGAGGAGAGGAGAGAAAGAGGGAGAAAAAGAGGGTGAAAGAGAGGTAGCCACCAGAGGGCAGACAGACAGACATGGAAGAAAGCTGGAAAGCAGGACACACAGAATGAAAGAAAGGTAAAAAGCCCGAGACAAAACATAGGTGAAGAGCAACATGTTAAATTAGGTTATAAGAGCTAATGAGACAACCATAAGATAAGGCCAAGCATTCATAACTAATATTAAGTCACCTGTCATTATTTGGGAGCTGGTTAGTGATCCAAAAGAAAGCCTGCTACAGTGCTGCTCCATGAGGTCAGGGTTGAGGCCTTATCTTTCTGTTCTTTCGGCTCTGGGTCATAAAAGTGGCCATGGCTCATCCTAGTCACCCCTTCTGCCAGCTTTCGGAGAAATTGGAAAGGACAGAGGTTTAAGTTATGCCCCATATCTTCAGTCTGACAGTGATCCACAGCCAAGCACTGGGCTAAGCTCCTGGAGTTTAGCTGAAGAGAGGGAGGAAGGATCATATGGGGGGGGGGGGGGGGTCAAGATCATGATGGGGAAACCTACAGACAGCTGACCTGAGATAGTGGGAGCTCACAGACTGTGGACTGACAGTTGGGGAACCTTCATGGGACTGAACTAGGCCCTCTGAATGTAGGTAACAGTTATGTGGCTTGATCTGTTGGGGGTGGCAGGCTGGCATTAGGACCAGGACTTATCTCTGGTGCATGAACTGGCTTTTGAAGCCTGTTCCCTGTGGTGGGATGCCTTGCTCAGCCTTGGTACACGGGGGAGGGACTTGGTCCTACCTCAATTTGATATACCAGACTTTGTTGACTCCCCAAGGGAGGTCTTACCCCTCTGAGGAGTGGAAGGGGAGTGGGATGGGGGTGTAAAAGAGGGAGGGAAGGGGAACTGGGATTGGTATGAAAAATGAAAAAAAATAGTAAAGAAAAAATACCCATACCTCTTTGGATTACTTCTGTTCCTGAGAAGTACTCATGTTACTATATTTGACTTCAGGGAAGTTCTAGCAGGGTAGGTTGGGTAGGTAAGGGGAAGAGAAGATGACAACCTGATATACATCTAGTACACAGTATCGTATCATCATTTTTTTTTTTGCTTTTTATTTCCTATTTTTTTGAGACCAGGTCTTTTTGTGTAGCCCTGGCTGGTCTGAAGCTTACTATGTAGATCAGATTAATCCCAAACTCAGAGATCTGTCTCTGACTCCGAAGTGCTGAGATTAAAGGTGTATGTCACCACACCTGGCCCAACAAAGTCTTGTTTATTTTCATTTTTAGTTTTGTTATGTGACCTTCAAGACTAACAAATTCTCTCTTTTTCAGGCAGAGTTGGGCCTAAATGAGCACCATCAAAATGAGGTTATTAATTACATGCGTTTCGCTCGTTCAAAGAGAGGCTTGAGACTTAAAACAGTAGATTCCTGCTTTCAAGACCTCAAGGAGAGCAGGTATCAAGAGATTTTAAGGCTTTACTTCTCAAAACTGTGGGTCATATAACCGAATGAATGTGTATTCCTAGAAAATTTGGCAGTAATAAAAGGTTTCTGAAAATGCAATCACTAAAAACTAGGTCATAATTAAATTCATAATGAACCTGAAGTGTTGTGAAAGCTTTTGCCAGGGTTTTGTCATGTGATGACTTCGCTGCAGCCTGGGTTCTGGCCACACGACAGGCACAAGTGCAAGTGCCTGGAACTCTGGCTTAGACTATTGTATGCTCTGAATTACAGTGATTTTACTGTACATATAAATATTCTGCTCTTACAGAAACATGATGTTTTTAATTATAACAAAGATAGTATTTTCTTATCATCATTCCTCAGCATGTATCAAACAGTATTTCTGGAGTCTGTTGTGTTAGAATCTTTGATTTTAAGAATTGTTATTTGAGTTGTTGAGTTTCATTTAAAAAAAAAAAAGAAAGTGAATTTTGGTTTGGGATAAAGATAGAATTTCCAACAGTTTTTGAAATGGCCGTAAATATATTTTTGCTATTTGGTACTATGTATTTTTGCAGAGCAGCTTTCTCAACATTGATGGTTGTAAAATCAAATTATCAATCAACTCTGAAAAAAATGTTGAAGGTATGCTCTGTCCTTTATTATCAAATACTCAAATAAGCACATAAATACTATAAAAATAAACACATTCATTTAATTATATGAAAAATTGCTTTCAGCTTTAGTAAATGGCAAATTTTATGTATACCAAAGAATTGTTTTAAGAAAAAAAAATCTTTTTTTCAGCTTTTCAACACAGGGTTTCTCAGTATAACAGCCCCGGCTGTCTTGAAACTCACTTTGTAGATCAGGCCGGCCTCAAACTCATAGAGTTCTGCCTTTGTCTCCCCAAGTGCTGGAATTAAAGGCATGTGCCACCACACCTGGTTTGTTTTAAGAAAACACTTTATGATTTTTAATTAGTAAATCTGTGTACTTACTTTATATACCTGGTCATGTGAAAATTTCTCAAAAAAGAAAGGGTCCTGAGTGGATAAATTTAAACTCTGATTAGGAAATCAGAGAAAAACATGGATTCTTTGTGATAGCTAGCATGGGGTTGCTAGTACAGAAACCACAGCAGTGACTGAGAGAAACTCCACTATGTTCCATGGATTTGGGAAATTAAATAGTTGTGGGGTAACAGTAATAGTATCTTGTCAGACATGTACATGGTAATTGTTGTATACTGGAAAGTTTCAGATAAACACTGTGAAGGACATATGTATCAAATCTTTCATAACTTTAATTTCTTAAGTGATTTCTTAAAAGAGTAAAGCCATATGACATGGCAGTTATGAACCTGTGCTGTTCATTTAGAAGAATTAGGAGAGGAAAAAATAGCATGAAACACTTACTTGATAGTACCGATTGTTAGTTGATTTGAAGCAAAAGTTAGTAAGTTCGCTGGCCCAACAATGAAAAGTAAATGTTTAATGTCAAGTCCGATGTAAGGAGAAAAGGCCTCTAGGTTGACTCTAGCTACTGTGGGAGTCATCAGCCTTGGACCAGTTTCTGTTCAACTAATTAACCTAATCTGGCGATTTGGTTTATTAGTTCCAGTGAATGAAAACAATATAACTGGCAAAAATATGGTATAGTCTATTAAAGAATATAGAAAACACTAATATTTTAATAAAGACTATGAAATTAAAGTATTATGTTCTTTAAAATGGCTGTATTCTTATGGTTAAATGATAATAGATAATTATACATTGAATACTACTTAGTGAAATATAGTGCTTTGTTTATTATCAGTTTGAGCATAGTTATACTAAGACTAAATATAACTGACCCTTGCTTTATTTTGTGTGTTTGGAAGAAAGGAAAAGGACAAAGGTGAGCTAATTGTCTGAGGGGAGAGACTGGAGGAACAAAACTGGGAGTGGCAAAAATTAGGTTACTGTGAGTGTCATTGGGAGTAGGAGTGTGCATGGGAGTGCTAAGGACTCCAACTCTTGGTCATGTTGCTGTAAATTGTGGGGCGTGGTCACCCACAGTGGACCCACAGGCAAGTCTCTTCCACCCCCTAAGGTCTGTACAGTTAGGGGATTGAAGATGATGGCTCATTCCCTGAAATTCCTTTCCAACCCAAGTATCTCCGATGAAAGTAGATTTTAATGCTGCTGTTGATAGAGACATTAATTTTTTGTGGTGTCATAGTAATACTTTAAGATGTTAGATTTAATTTCATTTTGCATCCCTAAACTGCTAAGAAAATTTAATATACAACTTTGGTTTGTGTCTCCTAGGTATTTACTAACAGTTAAGTGATTCACACTGTTACTAAATGCTAGAGAACTGACAGAAAATGGAAATTTAAATGGAAAATGACTATTTAAAAAAAGATTTGTTTATTTATTATGGATACAGTGTTCTGCCCGCATGTGTGCCTGCAGGCCAGTGGAGCATACTAGATCTTATTACAGATGGTTGTGAGCCACCATGTGGTTGCTGGGAATTGAACTCAGGTCCTCTGGAAGAACAGCCAGTGCTCTTAACTGCTGAGTCATCTCTCCAGCACCTCAGGTGGCTTTTTAAGTTTCTAAATGTGATAATACTAATTTAGAGGAGTATAAAGTAAAAAATAATAGTAATGAAAATAGATGAAGGTTTAGGGGGTGTTTCTCGGCATGTAGTTGTATTTTAAAGTGAATACATTTGAAGAATTATCCACAATCCAATCATTTTAATAAATCTCTCCCAGAGAGGTTTTCCTATAATCTTTTATTGTTTAAATGTCCTGATGTGGGTTTCTGATTTCAGTTGTATTTTGTACGCTGCTCCTGTGATTAGTTAGCCATTGGAGTCTTAACTGTTTTCAGACTGGTAGAGGAGACGTACACCGTGGATGAGGTCACAGAAATCCTGAGTGGACTGCAGGCTGTGGTACACAGTGAGGTGGAGTCTGAGCTCATCAATACAGCCTACACCAATGTGCTGCTCCTACGGCAGCTGTTCTCACAAGCTGAGAAATGGTACCTAAAGCTACAGACAGACATCTCTGAACTTGAAAACAGGTAAAATTTGTACCTAGAGTTGAGATATAGAGACCCAAGCATGATCTTAAAAGTTAGCAAATATCTTTGCTGGTGCTTTCCTTGGGCTGAGGTGTGAGACAGTGTGGGTGGGGTGGCAGTAAAGCACAGACATTAGATGGTCCCTAGATGGTCCCTTGAGCAGCACTCAGAGCCCTTTTAAAGAAATTCTGTTTCCTTGGCCAGGTGGTGATGGTGCACACCTTCCCAGCACGTGGGAGGCAGAGATGGGCGCATCTCTGCGAGTTTGAGGGCAGCCTCGTCTATAAGAGTTATAGCCAGGACAGCCAGTGCTGTTATGCAGAGAAACCCTGTCTCTAAAAACTGAAAAGAAAAGAAAAAGATATTGTTTCCATTTAGTACCATTCTTAGGTACTAAAAAAGCATTTGAGCTACATAAAACTGTTTTTTAATCTATTTAAAGTAATGATTCCTTACAGCATCTTTGGTAGGTAGCATAATTAGTATTACAGTGGTCTTGATACACAGAAGTAAAGATTGGAACTGTTGAAAATGTATTTTGAGTATCGTTTCCATTTATTCAGACTATAGCATTGCAAATTCATTTCTAGATAACTGCATTTGAAATCATACCTTAGGAAAGGTAAACTAAAAAAGGCTTTTTAAAAAAAGTTTTACAATATTGAAAAGCTCATAAATTCAGAAACCTCTAGTAAGATCAGTGAAGTTAAAACTTGTCTTGAGAAACTGCATGCCAGTTGGGCATCGTGGTTCACACCTTTAATTTCAACACTTGAGAGGCAGAGGCAGGCAACCTCTGTGAGTTCAAGACTGCTAGGGCTATACAGGAAGACCCTGTTTCAAAAACAATATATATATATGCCAGAAGTCAAGAAAGACTCGACTGCCAAGCCCTCCAAACAATCTCTCCTCAAGTGGAAAATGGTGAGCAAATGCTAAGGACAGTCCCCAAGCAAGGATGGAAACTCACTTGGCTTCTGCAACTGCCAGTGACTGATGAGAAAATGCCAAGTGTTGATGTTTGAAGAAGACAGAAGAGTGGTCTCTGAGATAGCACATCTATCATGGTAGATCATTGGGGGCTTGTTCACACCACCAATATTTCCATAGAATATGTCAGTATTCTTGCTCAGTAGATGCTGTGGACTAATTTCATATCCAAGACAACTGTAGTACAAATCAGACTCTTTCCCAGGTAACAGTTAATATTGTGCAATAGAGAAATCATGCAGTACCTCAGAAGTACAGAGAAATAGAATTGTCATTCCTATATGTATTGGCACTGCTTTTTATGTATTACTACATATATCATGTACCTACCAAGTACAAAGTACCAAGAGTTGCAGATGATTCAGATTTGCTTACAGTGGTATAAATTTCCATTAGTAAATAAATATCAGTTTTATACAGTCTTATGCTTCTCTCACAAGCATTGATAGGCTGGTTCTTGTGAAGTCTATTGTCAATGAATATTCTCTTAAATTTGCTTTTATTTTTCAGAGAATTATTAGAACAAGTGGCTGAATTTGAAAAGGCAGAATTTACATCTTCAAATAAAAAGGTAATTTTTATAATTTCTAAATCCTTACTTACTTTCGCATGCATGGTTGTGTGTAAATGTGCTTGCCTGCTTGTGTGTATGTGGTTGCACATGTGTACAGCTGCCTATGCATATGTTTGTGCTTGCATATGGAGGCCAGATATTGATGAAGTGACTTTTTTGGTCACTTTCTACTTTTACTGAGGCAGAAACTTTTACTGAACTTAGAGGTCACCAATTTATCAGCAAATCAGCTTTCCCTAGGAATCCCTTGTCTCTGCCTACTGCTCTGAGTCCAGAGATTACAGGTAAGTCACCATGCCTACCTGGTTTTTTATGCGGGTATTAAGAATCCAAACTTACGTTCTCAGGGGTCCCCGGGTAAGGGTCTTGTGCAAATCAGGACACAGGGGATGCAGAGTATGAACAACTGCATAACAAGCTTTATTTTGTATGGCTTTTTATATAAACTAAAAAGCATCACCTCAACTCTGAAACCCCCTTTACTCACGTACATGATCATGAGAAACTCTTACCTCACCTTGCAAGAAACAATATCTCTCAATAAATAACAGTAATAAAAATAAAGAGAAGTACATAGAAACAAGGCAAAAAGTATACAGAAACAAAGCACTCCTTTGTAACTGGTAGAGTGTGAAGAACTGAGCTCAAAGGCCACTTCCCTATCCAGGGTACAGATTCTGACAGAACGTTTGAGAAATGGGCAGAGAAAGTTTGCTTGCATCTATGCTTGGTTTGCCAAGCAACCGTTTCCCAGCTTGGTCTCATCTGTCCCAGGAGGAGCCTGCCCTCTAAGGCAGTTCTGTGTCTCCACAATTCCTGCAGTCCAGCCTGAATCCCAGGTCTTGTAAACCCTTCATTCAGCTGATGCAAAAGAATACTTTATGGTGGTCACCCCTGTGGTCATATCCTGACTCTGCTTCTTCACTGTGTGCTATAGGAAGATTACAAGACAGCAGGTGGAGACAGCCTGGTTGTCTTTCTAAGCAATTATGTGCTGTGGTATCCCTTACTAGGTACACCATAAATCATAAATAGTTCCTCTTGTCAGACAGCTAAACACTACTGAGATGAATCCATGTATAGAGACATAGAAAACATTTTCTAATAACATATTTTTGACAAAGGAATTTTGGAGTCAGAGGGCTACTAAAATATTTGTGGTCATCTATAATTCCTCAGTCATTACAGCTTTGTGGTATAAGGTTCATATAGAAATTATTTTAAGCTACTACAGATGAAAATCTACCACAGTCCTAGAGGCTAGATATTTTTATCAAGTCTGGCTAGGAGCTCCTTGTCTCCCTACTTTCCATCTGTATTAATAAAAAGATACAGGGAGGTTGGGTTTCTTTGGGCAGGGCCGGGGGCAGGGTTGCTTGTTTGTTTTTTGTTTTGTTGTTTTTTGTTTCTGGTTTTGAAGACAGGGTTTCTCTGTGTAACAGCTCCAACTGTCCTGGAACTTGTTTTGTTGACCTGGCTGGCCTCAAACTCACAGAGATCCTCCTGCTTCTGCCTCTCGAGTGCTGGAATTAAAGGCGTGCACCACGATGCCTGGCTGGGTTTCATTTTTTTTTCTATCATTATTGAGCTTCATCGGGCACATCATAGGCACTGGACATAACAGAATGAAACCACCCAGAATCGTTATATCTGTGGAGCTGAAGGCTTGGTGGATTGTTTATGGATTATATCTTCCATTTAGAAACCACCCAGAACCGTTCTATCTGTGGAGCTGAAGGCCTGGTGGACTGTTTGTGGATTATATCTTCCATTTAGAAACCACCCAGAACCGTTCTATCTGTGGAGCTGAAGGCCTGGTGGACTGTTTGTGGATTATATCTTCCATTTAGAAACCACCCAGAACCGTTCTATCTGTGGAGCTGAAGGCCTGGTGGACTGTTTGTGGATTATATCTTCCATTTAGAAACCACCCAGAACGGTTCTATCTGTGGAGCTGAAGGCCTGGTGGACTGTTTGTGGATTATATCTTCCATATAGAAACCACCCAGAACGGTTCTATCTGTGGAGCTGAAGGCCTGGTGGATTGTTTGTGGGTTATATCTTCCATATAGAAACCACTCAGAACCGTTCTATCTGTGGAGCTGAAGGCCTGGTGGATTGTTTGTGGATTATATCTTCCATATAGAAACCACCCAGAACCGTTCTATCTGTGGAGCTGAAGGCCTGGTGGATTGTTTGTGGATTATATCTTCCATATAAAAACCACCCAGAACGGTTCTATCTGTGGAGCTGAAGGCCTGGTGGACTGTTTGTGGATTATATCTTCCATTTAGAAACCACCCAGAACCGTTCTATCTGTGGAGCTGAAGGCCTGGTGGACTGTTTGTGGGTTATATCTTCCATTTAGAAACCACCCAGAACCGTTCTATCTGTGGAGCTGAAGGCCTGGTGGACTGTTTGTGGATTATATCTTCCATTTAGAAAGTGCAAATGTTTAGTGATTCTTGCTTACTCTGTGGTGATTTTAGATTGGTTTCTTTTTTTGTTACAGCCCATCATAGATATCACAAAGCCCAAACTTATTCCAATTAATGAAGGTGGAACAACAGAACTGCTAAACAAGGTAATAGTCTCATCATTTTGAAAATGGGAGAACTGTGGTTCTGCCCCTTGCACCCCCATTTCCTGTACACTGCTAGGGTAAGAGAAATAGTCTTGTCACGGTTTTACTGAATGAAACCCAGTGTCCAGAAGAGGGCATGCTTGCTTTGTAGAGTCTGAAGTGACCAATAGATCTTTTCTCAGTAAAGTGTAGGGCAGGGAATTTTGTACTATGTTGTTCTGGCATGCATTTGAAACTTGTGATCCACAAAAATGTACGGTTTTTTAATGCTTATAGAAGTTATTAGTGTAAAAATAAATTTTTCTCAACTCCCATATTCTTGGCATTACGCATGTCAGATTTTGTTGTACTTAAAAAAGCAGTACAGTACCTGCACACTCTCAAAACTGTTATCATTTCATTGGGAAGTAGGAACTGACATTTCCAGAAGCAGAAATGAGAGACCTAAAGGGTTCTGTGGGTAGTATAGTTCTGTGTGGATGTGAGGAGATAAGAATAGGCGTTTGAATGAGACAGCCTCCAAGCTGGGTCTTAAAGATAAACACAGGTTAAGTTAAAGGGGGCTTGTTTGGCAAGGGAGCAGAATGGCTTCTGGCCAGAGGCAGACAGAAGGTTGGCATGACTTAGAATAACCGAGCACAGGGTCTTCTGAGCAATCCAGCATTATATCAGAGTAAAATGCAAAATCAGACTGGTCAGGGAGGTACATCTTATATCAAAACTGTTTGGCCTCCCTCCCCTCAGAGCCATGCAGAAGCTGGAGTACTGGGCACTAAAATGATGAAGGTAGTGTGATTTCAGGGTTAAGTGGTAGCAGTGTGACAAAGAACAGGCCCAAGTTGCAGAATCAGAAAGCTAGATAAGAAAGGAGAATGGCTGAAAACAGAACAGGAGAAGAAAAGGTATTTCTGAGGGAAAGGCAGCTGTGAGTTGTAAGCTGAACTTGATTCACAGCTGTGGGCTTGGGGCAGGCTTTACGAAAACATGATTTTACTCCTAACCAGGGCATTTGAATTTTTGAGCCATTGTATAATTTTGATTATTTTTTAAGTGAAACAAGCAGTGATCATTCCAAGTGGTAAATATATTTTGGTTAAAATAATAAAATTTGGGGGCTGGAGAAAGGGCCCAGTGGTTAAGAGCACTTGTTTCTCTTGTAGAGAACCTAGAGGCTCAGTTCCCACCACCCTTGTGGTAACTCAAGGCCACACATAAGTCCCTTTCCAGGGTATCTGATGCCCTCATCTGGTTTCCACTGACACGCACATTGTATATACACATACATGTAAGCAAAAACACTCCTGGATAAAGTCAAAATAAATCTTTAAAATAATAATATTTGAATTTACTCACAAAGGAAATTTTAAGACTTCAACAAGAGAATGAAAAATTAAAGTCAAGGCTGAAGACCATTGAAATACAGGTAACTGAGAAATCCTCCAATACTTATTGAAGAATTAACCTCGAGAGAAAAGTTGAGTGAGTGTATCCTGGTTACGTTTGATTATAGGCTACAAATGCTTTGGATGAGAAGTCAAAATTGGAAAGGACACTTCAAGATTTACAGCTTGATCAAGGAAATGAACAGGTAAAACAGTTTTATCTGTCTTTTCCACATCTTCTAAAAATAAAATTAGAAACTTTAGTGATAACCACTGTTCCTCATGCTCTGTCTGTTGTCTTAAACTGAGATGCCCTGGCTCAGAAACTGCATCCTTTGTTCATTTCCTAGGGCTGAGTCACAGCTCACGGGACTAGCATACATTAGAGATTTTAATGACAAGCAAGATGTTCTTAAATTTATTATTGTTAATTTTTCTCCTTTCCCTCCTAAACCCAGTTAGAATTGAGGCAGGGGAGGGGGTGGAATAAAGGAAGAGGAAAATTTACATTTGGGTTTTATTCTGAATGTTACTTGAGTTTTCCTTGGTTGAGATTACAGTGAGAGGAATTGATTGATTTCAGGCTTCATTTATGCAGCATGCTGTGAGGAGACAGCAACAACCAGAGTGGTAGCTTTGCAAGCCTCCCTTGGAATAATGACTGAATACTGCTCCACCTGCTGGGAGTTCATTAGTACATCATTGCCTCTCCCACTGAGTGTGACCTGGTATTGTGATTTGATATGAGCAAGGCCATGTGGTGAATTTTCAGTGTAGAATCGTCTTTCTGTTCGTTTTGTTTTTTATGGTGTTTTTGTTGTGTTTGTTTGTTTTTGACTGTTTCTCTGGGTAGCTCTGGTTGTCCTAGAACTTACTCTGTAGACCAGGCTGGCCTCAAACTCAGAGACCCACCTACCTCTGCCTCCTTGAATGCTGGGATTAAAGGTTTGTGCCACCAACCCCTGGCATAGAATTGTCTTTTCTGTGGTTATCATTGTAAATGTCTGCCAGTCTTTAAATCTACCTCTGTATTGATGGAGGAAGGTCATTGGCTAATAAAGGAACTGCCCTGGCCCATTTTATTGGTTAGAGGTTAGGTAGGTGGGGTAAACAGAACAGAATGCTGGGAGGAAGAGGAAGTGAGCTCAGAGACTCCACAGCTCTGCTCTCTGGAGCAGATGCCTCAGCAGAGACGCCATGCCCCGCTCCCGGGCAGACACACGCCATGAAGCTCCGACCCAGGATGGACTAGGCTAGAATCTCCCCGGTAAGCGCACCTTGGGGTGCCATACACAGATGATTAGAAATGGGTTAAATTAATATGTGAGAATTAGCCTAGAAGAGAATGGGCCAAGCAGTGATTAAAAGAATACAGTGTCTGTGTAATTATTTTGGGGCATAAGCTAGCCGAGCAGGTGGCTGGGGTGCTGGGAACGCAGCCCTGCCGCCCTTAACTACTACAGTTGGCGCCCAGCCATGTGGACAGCCAAAACCCACTTAAAAAACCTGAGAAGGCTTAAAAATAAGGGAGAGAGAGTTTAACACAGATTTTTGCTGTTTGTTGGTGGCGTGCTGTAGAGAGATTTCCTGATTCTGCAACAGTAGCAGAAAAAAAAACGCTGTGTCATTTTAAAGTGTGACTTTCTGGGGCTGTGATCTGTGTGGCTCCTGCAGGAGACAGAGCTTTTCAATAGAGCATTTGGAGTAAAGTGCTACGATTTGTTTGATGGCAACTAGACTCGCTGTGTTCTCGGGTCTGCTCTGCTTGTTAGAGGCAAGCATGCGCTTTCTTCTAAGAGAAGCTTCCTGACTCAGCTTTAGCTGCAAAACCCTGCAGCTCATTAAGAGGTCCTGCCACGAAACACTTAAACGGTGTTGATGAAAAGCTGAGCACATGCTTTTCGGTTTTCAGCCGTAACAGGAAAAAAGCTGCATCGTTTAAAAATGCCGGCTTTCTGGGCTGTCCTGCCACGACAAACTCTGACTGTTTTACGCAGGCGGTTTGTGCGGTTTGCAAGCATAGGCTGCTGAAGCTCGCTTGCTGGCTACAGCCAGTACCTCAGCCATGAGGCTGGAAAGCTAAGGAATGGACTGGATCTAGCTGGCAAAGCCACGCCTTTAGTCCTACTGAGATAGCTTGGTAAATTAAAGATTCATGTGGTCAGAAAAAGAGAGATATACAGTAAAGAGAGATTCAAAGACAGAAAAAAAATTGTAAATGGTTTAAATTGTGTTAAAAATATATGCAGACTAAAAGTTGAAGTTCTTAAAGTAAAAAACAAAAAAAGGAAGAGAGTTGTTGTGTGTAGTAGCACACGCCTTTAATCCCAGTGCCTAGAAGGCAGAGGCAAACAGATCTCTGTGAGTTCAAGGTGTAGTAGTGTACACCTTTAATCCCGAATGCCTGGGAGGCAGAGACAGGCGGATCTCTGAGAGTTCAAAGACAGCCTGGTTTACAGAGTTACTTCAGGTCAAAGATACAGAGAACCTGTCTCAAAAAGCAAAGAGTTAAAAGTAAAAATAAACAAAATAGAGGTTAAAACAAAGCTGCACAAAGATGGAAAATACACAGAGAATCTTGATACTGTATGCTATTATGCTCTCTTTGAATTGTTTGAATGCTGAGGAAGAAGCAACAGCTGCTAAAAGATATTTATTGATAAATGCTGCTGAACTAATCCGACATAGATATTTTGATGCCTTAACTTTGAAATTTGGATCTAAGGACATGATGCTTTGGAAAGGAGTTTCTTATTTTGTTTTCACAGAGGATGAGACGCTGTTCATTTCTTCTATTCCGATTTGGTATGATGGACCACGCCCTCCTGAAGGGTTGCAGTGAACATCTTCAGAAAATTGCTTCGCTCTACTGCCAACTGAGCACACAGGTTATACCATGAAAGACCTAATTAACGACGCCCCCATTCAGCAGGAAGCAGTTTGGAGAGAAAAAACTGCGCCCATGTTCCCAAATATGGTTTATAAACATCCTTTTACATTTAAAGGGGGATATGATATAGATATGAATAATTTACATTAGTATAGATTTTACTTTATTGATAAGAGATTTAAGGTCAATTTTGTTATATGTATAAGTGTTTCTGATTTTGATTAAGGTATTGTGATTGTGTAGTTCATTTAATTATGTACTGTATAATTAAGAAATATAGGTTGTTAATGGATAATCATCGATAATAGTAAAGCTTGTAGTCATGTTAGTTAGATTTTCTAGATATATAGAGATATATTTTAGATAGACATTCTTCATGTCTTTCAAAGATTACAGAATAGGACATTTTAAATGTTTTAATAACTGAGGACTTTTCATGACAATGAGACACTCTGCTCCAGGCAGCACCAATCTACTTCAAGAGGAAGATGGGCATTGAAGAGGCACCTTATGGAATTTGGTAGCCATTTGGGCAAGAAACTGCTCTTGCCTGGACTATTGTATAAACTGGACACAGAGAACCCGCAGAGAGAGGACTACTGAACTTGCCTAAGGTGAGATGATCTTTCGGGGTTCCTGATTCATGAAAGAGTCTGCGAGACATGCTGTAGGACACAACAGATAGTGACTGAACTGACTTTGAATTTTCCTGCTTTATGGAAATGTCTGCTGGATACCATGGGCCTGAAGGCTGAAGATGGATGCCCCAACGGTACAAAAGAACTTTGGGTGACTGTCCAGGCAGCGAGATGTCTCTGTCATTTCTAGAGTTTTAAAAGTTGCTTTTTTCTTGTTTGCTTAAGTAGTATTGTATCTTTCTGGAGTCTTTGATGGAGTTAAGAATAGTTAGTTATAGTTATAGTTTTCCTTAGTTATGATAAAGATTATTGTAACTTTTACTTGATAACTGTTTTGTTATATGTAATTTTGCGATGTTAAAGCCTTTTTTTTTTTGTTTAAACCGAAAAAGGGGAAATGATGGAGGAAGGTCATTGGCTAATAAAGGAACTGCCCTGGCCCATTTTATTGGTTAGAGGTTAGGTAGGTGGGGTAAACAGAACAGAATGCTGGGAGGAAGAGGAAGTGAGCTCAGAGACTCCACAGCTCTGCTCTCTGGAGCAGATGCCTCAGCAGAGACGCCATGCCCCGCTCCCGGGCAGACACACGCCATGAAGCTCCGACCCAGGATGGACTAGGCTAGAATCTCCCCGGTAAGCGCACCTTGGGGTGCCATACACAGATGATTAGAAATGGGTTAAATTAATATGTGAGAATTAGCCTAGAAGAGAATGGGCCAAGCAGTGATTAAAAGAATACAGTGTCTGTGTAATTATTTTGGGGCATAAGCTAGCCGAGCAGGTGGCTGGGGTGCTGGGAACGCAGCCCTGCCGCCCTTAACTACTACACTGTATGTTTTTCTTTTTTTCATTCCTAACATTTTTTTTCTTCTTATGGAATGGGTATTGTGCCCAGAGCCTATATATGCTAGGCCAGCACTCCTATGCTGAGCTGTATCCCCAGACTTCATTAGATTTTGTTAAACTTTATTCTGCGAAAAAAATTCAAACATGCAAACATACAGAGAGTAGTATGATGAACCCCATGAAACCACTACTTGGCTTTACAATCATCCTCATTCCTACTACACTTTCTTCCCTTCATCCATGTCTTTTTGAAGCGAGTCTCAGGTGTTATTTTTTCTGTAGATACTTATTCTTATTGATATTATATTTCCTATATGGCTAAGGAAAAATTTCCATAAGAAGGTGAAGATTCTTTTTTCACTTTCTGTGAAGAACTGTGATAGAATTTTAATGGGGATTGCATTGAATCTGTAGATGGCCATTCTCACTCTCTTAGTCCTATTGATCCATGACTGTAGGAGCTCCTTCCATCTTCCGGTGCCTGCTTATCCAATGTTTTTATTCAGTGTCTTAAAGTATGTGTTATACAAATGAACAGGTAAAACAGTTTTATCTATCTTTTCCACATCTTCTAAAAATAAAATTAGAAACTTTAGTGATAACCACTGTTCCTCATGCTCTGTCTGTTGTCTTACACTGAGATGCCCTGGCTCAGAAACTGCATCCTTTGTTCATTTCCTAGGGCTGAGTCACAGCTCACGGGACTAGCTGGGTTAGAATTGTCCCAAGATATTTTATTTATTTTTGAGACTGTTTGAAAGGTACTGTTTCCCTGATTTCTTTTTTGGTTGGTTATTATTTGTTCATAGGAAAGATACTGGATTTTGTGTAAATTTGGTATCCGACTACTATGCAAAAAAAGGGTTTATTAACTATAAAATTTTCCTTGTGGAGTTATTAAGGTTTCTATATAGAGAAAAATAAAATAAATAAAATACTTGGACTTCTTCCTTACCTATTTGTATCCCCTTGTTCTCCCTTAGTTGTCTTATTGTTCTAGCTAGAACTTCAAGTTCTGTATTTGAATGGGTATATTTGAAAGAGTAGACCAGCTTTAATCCATGGTGGTTAGATAGACTACAGGGTGTTATTTCAATTTTCTTATATTTGCTAAAACCTGTTTTTTGTCTATGTATGTGGTCAATTTTGAAGAGATTTCCATGAGCTGCTGAGAAGAAAGTATATTCTTTAGTGTTTCAGTAGATGTCCGCTGGGTCCATTTGGTTTGTGATGTAATTTAACACCAGGATTTCTACATTTATTTTTTGCCTGAATGACCTGTGTGTTGGCAAGAGTGGACTAAGTGGGTTACTAAAGCCATCCAGTATCACACGTGAGGGTTAATATGGATTGTAGCTGTAACTGTGTTTCTTTTATGAGCTTGAATATGCTTGTGTTGGAGCATAAATGTTTAGAATTGTAATATCCTCTTGGTGGGTTTTTCCTGTAATGAGTATATAGTGTCCTTCCCTATCACTTCTGATTAGTTTTGACTTGAAATCTATTTTGTCAGATATTAAAATGGCTATACCTGCTTGCCTCTCAGGTCCGTTTGCTTAGTACATCCTTTTCCATGCTTTTATTCTGAGGTGATGTCCATCCTGATGGTAAGATATGGTTTTTGGATGCAGCAGAAAGATGGGTCATGTTTTCTAATCCAGTCTGTTAACCTGTGTCTTTTTATTGGAAAATTGAGACTATTAATACTGAGTTATTAATGAGTAGTATTTATTGATTCCTGTTATTTTGTTGTTGTGATAGAGGTTTTCCCCTTTTTGATTTGCTGTCTGGGATTATTTATTGTGCCTTTTTGAGTGTTGTTAACCTCTCCAGACTCAAGTTTTCCTTGTAATGCCTTCTGTAGAGCTGGACTGGTAGATTGCTTAAATTTAGTTTCATTGTGGAATCTTTTTCTGTCAGTTGTGATTGATATTTGACTGGCATCTGTGGCCTTTCCGAGTTTGAAAAACATCTGTGCAGGCCCTTCTGACTTTTAGAGTCTCCATTGAAAAGTCAGGTGTTGTCAAATGGCCTCGTCTTTATATGTGATTTGGTCTTTTTCCCTTGCAGATTTTAACATGCTTTCTTTGTTCTGTATGAATTTCTTTTCTGATCCTATGTATTTGTTGTTCTGTATGCTTCTTGTGCCTTGACAGGCACCTCCTTCTTTAGACTGGGGAAATTTTCATCCATGATTCTGTTAAAAGTAGTTTCTGTGCCTTTGACTTGAGTTTCTTTTTCTTTTATAATTTATTTGTACTTAATGTTCATTGGTGTTTTGCCCTCATGTATATGTGTGTATCAGAAACCCTGGAACTGGAGTTACAGACAGATGTGAGGGACCCTGCAGGTGCTGAGACCCGGGTCCTTAAGAAGAGCAGTCAGTGCTCTTACCCTCTGAGCCATCTCTCCAGCCCCTGAGTTTCTTCTTTTTATTCTAATCTTATTGTTGCAGATATGGTCTTTTCATAGCATCCTAGGTTTCATGTATAGTTTTGAGCATGGATTTTTTTAAATATTTAACATTTTATTTGACTGAGCTATTTATTTCTTCTACCCTTGCCTTCAAAACGTGAAATTCTCTCTTCCATGTTTTGTAATCTGTTGGGGCTTACTTCTGAGGTTTTAATTTGGATTTTCTTTAGTGATTCTAGTTCTACTTTCATGCCTTAAAATGCTTTCATTATTTCATTCAACTGTTTGTATTTTCACTGTCTTCATTAAGGCATTTGTTTATATTCTCTTGAAGGTCCTTGAACATATTCATAATTGTCGTTTTGAAGTCCTTGTCTTGTGCATCAGCTAGATTGCATTTCTCAGCTCTGATTACCACAGGGTTCCTGGCTTCTGGATGAGGCATGTTATACTGACTGTTTGTGTTTTAGTGCTGAGATTTTAGCATCTGGAGTTAAGGTGCTTGAAGTGTTTCTTGGTGTAGATATCTGGCTGTGTTTTTGGTGGGCGGGTGTTCCATTCTTTGTTCACTGTTGCCCACTCTGGTTCCTAGGCAAGTGGAGTCTCTGGCAGAGAGTGTTTCTGTAGGTTCAGAGTCACACAGAGGAATGGAGGTGGACTAGGAAGAATAACTGAGAAGGACAGCATGAAGGAACTAGGGGCTAGGGTCCACACCAAAAGGAAGAGTCCCAAAAACATAGGTGTCGGGGGAGACTCATGCAGGCTGGCTGCTACAGAACAAAGAATAGGCCTAGAGAGGTTGGAATGGAGACAGAAAATAGGGTTGTTTTGTTTTTTAATTTGACTTTCCAAAATGATGTGTCAGGGGCCTAGGATATAGCTCAGTTAACTAAAGGCTTGCTTAGCAAGCACACAAAGCCCTGGATTTCATCCCTACTACCACATAAACCAGGCATGTTGGTGCATGCTTATAATCCTGGCACTTGGGAGGTAAAAGCAGGAGGGTAGATGTTTGAGGTCATCTTTGGTTACAAAGCAAGTGTGAGGCCAACTTGATTTATAAGAAACTCCGCCCCCCACACACCCTTCTCCAAGTGATTTGCCATTCCAGCCCTCATACACATAGTGTTGTCAAATTAAGATCTCACTTCTCTCCTGTTCAGTCTTTGACTGAAATTCTAGCGGTTCAGAAATCCTGTTTTCTATATTTGGAATGCAGAGACTACTGAATATCTGTCGTGTGTATACCAAGGCTGAGGCTGGATTGAGCCTGCTGGCAACCCTGCTGGGACTGGCACTTACCCAGATGGGTGAGAAGAGCTAAGTACACACACAACACGGCATTACTGTCTCCTTGAATGTTGGATCACTGTTTTGAAACAGCTGTTATTTAGTATGTCAAGGGAAATTTTACTCATGTATTTATTTTTCATAGGATTTTATAAAGGCCCATGACTTGGATGACTTGGAAAACACAGTCGCAGCTCTTAAGAACGAATTTCAGAAAACCCTTAATGATAAGACAGAGAACCAAAAGTCTTTGGAGGAGAACCTAGCAGCAGCCAAACATGACCTCCTCAGAGTCCAGGAGCAGCTGAGCATGGCTGAAAAGGTCGGGACACACCTTTGATCTAATGCATACAGTTGGAGGAACAGATGTGACCAGATAAATGGTAGACAATGCCAGGATCAGGTTATTTTTATTCTGAGTTTTAGTCAATGTATGCTTTGAAGGCCTATTATTTTGGGGGCACTTCTATCTTTGTGAACAGACCACTCTCTTCTTCCTTCACATGCCTCCTCCACACCTTTGCATTGTTTTCCACTGGTTCTTCCTACAGCTCACAGAGACCCGGGTGGCTTTTTTTTTTTTTGAGATATTTCTCAAAATGTTTTATATGGGAAATACATAGAGAGTAAATTCTTGACTTTAGGGTTTAGATACTTTAAAATGTGCGTGTGAGGCAGGAGAGATGGCTCAGCAGTTAAAAGCAGAGCTGTTCTTAGAGGACCCGAGTTCAGTTCCCATCACCCACTCTCCACCAGGCATTCATGTGGTAAACATACATGCTTATAGGTGAAACACTCATGTACGTAAATAAATAAGAAAATCTAATTTTTTTCAATCCTCTGTATTTTTTTAAAAAAGGATTATGGGTACTAGAGGTAGAATCCAAGACTCATGCATGCTAGGCAAATGTTCTACTAGCTGTGCTACAGTCCTAGGAACTAAAATTTAAAATTCTCAAATTAAGGGCTAAAAATATATGGCTTAGTGGTTAAGGCTCTTGGAGAGGATTTGGGTTTGGTTCCAGCACTCACATCTGATGGCTTACGACTGCCCATAATTCCTGCTCTCTGCATGAATGTAGTTTTTATAAACTCACACTGTTATATACACACACAATTAAATAAGAAGAAATGAATACTTTTAAAGATATTTAAGTTAAAAACCCTTCTGCTTGAGTTTTTAGAACTTGGGAATTTAAAAAACTATTGTATATATTTCACATGAAAGTTAGTTTGTGTGACATACAGATTCCTATATCTAGGGCAGAGTGTACTCGTTACTTGCTAACGTGGTGTTGCTTTGGAAAATAGTACTATTTTATTAACTTCTCATTTAGAATGTTTTTAAAGTTCAGGTGGTTTTAATTTTATACAAGTATGTTTTTAAGGAAATAAGAAAATTAGCAGGCTGTGTATTTTTATCACATTTGTTATTCTTTCCTAACATTTCTTAGTAATGGCTGACATTTTTCACAAAGCAGGAGTTAGAGAAAAAATTCCAACAAACAGCAGCATATCGAAACATGAAAGAAATTCTCACCAAGAAGAATGATCAAATCAGAGACCTACGGAAAAGACTGGCAAGGTAAGCTGGCCGGTCCACCCTGGGGCTCATCTCCACACTTGCCCTCTGGTACCAATCAGTCAAGCCCTGGGTAGGCCCACGTTCAGTCCACAGGGTGCTTTAGTCCCAGCTAGACATTTTCCCTCACCACACGATACTTGGTTGCTCTTGGCAGTGGATCCATTAGCAGGTAATGGCACAGAAATAGCAGCTGGCAAGGGAGCACATGGTGCTCCATGGTGTTCTCCTGGTACTAATACCTTTGCTTGTTGGGTCATTTTGTGACTTTGTCAGAGTTCTCAGGGAGGACATTTGTGAGGTGAAGTCAAGATCAGATTTGTAATGGGAGGGGGTTTGTACGTGACTCACAGTCATGTCAGCTCTTCATGATTGTCTGAGGACTGTCATACTCACACTAAACTTCCATGAGGCCTGGACTCTGACGATGTCCTAGGTGACCTGATGGATACTCCGAGTCACCATCCTAACACCAGTCTTGAGCATCACTGCTTTCTGCTACAATAGGGATAGAAAGTGAGCAGTTCTGCCGCTCCAGACAGCTAGGAGGTATTTCACTTACGACACAACAACAAAAGGGATCCTGACAATATGCTCTTAATTTTATCTCTAGATATGAATCTGAAGATTAAAGACTGAAGGTTTTGTCTAGAACCTGCCACACATAAACATACAAGTTATCTCCATCCACCTCAGGCATGTATTTTGAAGCCTTTTGTCATATTTTCTCCTTTTTCTAGTGTTTAGACTTTGCTTGTAATACTAGAATTAGCATTCTTGTTTTTAGTTCTCTAACCGAGAAGAGAAAAAAAAGTAATGATTTTTTATTGTCCCAAACATCTGTCTGTCAAATGCTCTAGAATCTCTTGCAAGTACAGTGAGATTTCTTCATGGTAGAAAAGAGTTTAGAATGGGAATAAGAGCCATCCTTTTGCATTAGGAAGAAGAGTAACCCTTTTAATGTTAGAGAAACAGTACCACCATTACTTGTACAGTCCCAGAATGTAAAGATAAATAGTAAAGTTATTAAGATTTACAAATAAACCTCTTATTTTTAATAATGAAATTCTAGTTAATTTATTCTATCTCATCTTCAAAATGTATAAACTCATGGAAAATATGTTTACTGTCTGCTGTAGTCAACATTTTTAATCAATTATAAGGGAAAGTGAGTGCAGTAAATGTGAAGACTCAGTTAACCTTTGCACCTCTCTGTCACGATGCTGCTTATCAAAAGAGATGCAGGCATTTTCTTGCATCCTAACTTATCACAGGTATGTGTTGTGGATGGAGAAGTCAGATTTATCCTATGCTTTCACAGTTTAGAAATTAGGTGGACTCAGAGTATATGCAATCTTTAGACTTATTTCCAGAATATCCTTTTAACCTATATGTAAATTATAACTCTTTCAAACTCTGACTCAACAGAAAGTCAGCGACAAGGTTCCAGGTTGGACTTTGGGTCATAGTTTGTATATGGTAGATAAATGGTGTTTTCAAGAGATTTTAGTATTTCTATTGGTTGGCTTTTCCTTGGCTGATCATATATAAAGTAGTAGAAACAGGACACATACCTGCAGTGTGTAGTGCAGTGTTGTGGTACACGAATAAATAAAGACCACAAGGCAGTTAAACCTCAGAAGGAAAGCATTTACCTTTCACCTGTTACCATGGAAGTTTTCTCATTTCTCAAAACATGTCACATCCTGTGTGAACAACCTGAGAGAGGATCTCCACCTCCACAAATAGGGAACTTATTCCTGGAAAGAGTGTACCGATAAAAATTTACATCTGTTATTTTCACTCAAACTTTTAGTACTAGATTTGAATGTACTGTGGGGTTTTGTAGGCTAAAGGAACAAATAACAGTGAGGTAATTTCTCCCTGAAAAAGCAGGGAAGGCGATCTTAGAAGATGAGTGAATTGGCAAAGAAGAGAAAAAAATAGAGTAACAAGCCAGCATTTCCCACACACTTTTTCTCATCCATCCATCTATAGCTGGATCACTCATCAGATTCTTGTAGGGTGCTCATTGAGGGCTCTAGTTTTACCCTGTATTTCTTTAGCCCAACCCTAACTAAAAGTCCATCTCGTCATTTGTAGACTAGGATGTTCTGTCTAAGTCAGAAACCAGAATTTCTAACTAAATGGAAAATGTTTCTTTCAGAAACTGTTTAGTTATATTCTGCCTACAGATTTCTCAGTTTAATGTCAGAAAAAAAGACTTATTAAACAACCTGTAAAACATTGCTGGGTAAAAGTTTATTTATTTATGTTTGTTGGTAGGGGTTTTGAAATAGTCTGTGTTGTGTGTTCTACTTGTTGAATAATAAATTCAAAAGTATTTGTGAAAGCTTAAACTCTCTTAAGCAGTAAGATAAGCAAATAGGCCGCATAAATCAATGCGATGCTTCTTTTACTTACACCATTTACTGCTTCTGGGTTTTTTGCTGTACTGATTTCTTTTTAAACTCATACCGCTCAGCAAAATGTGATTTTAAATGTTTATTTTACTTGGTTTCCCAGTTTTAAGATTTCCCTCATTTGACTAAAAAAGCCAGTTTAGTCTGTACATTTTAGCTCTTTAGTCTTGAGTAAGCTGTTAATGTTCTGGTAACTGTGGACAGTTTGAGCTGGTAAGCCATCTTAATGAAGCTCCTGGCCAGGGTGCAGCATTTAACCTACCACACATGAGGCCCTGGGATCAGCTCCCACACTGTGAAACAAAAGCAAAAACAAATAAAATGCAGCTAATATCTTTAATTTGACAGTTAAATGTTTATTTGTTCTTATCTTATATTTGTATATGTGTTAAATAAATATTTACTCATTTGTTTATGTCTTATAAATATAATTATATAGAATATTTTGTTCTCTGAAATATGTAATTATATTCAATAAGCCTTTACTATCTGTTACTTCCATTTTGATAATCCCAAGGAACCTGACACCCCCTTCTGACTTCTACAAGCACCAGGCACTCGTGTGGTGCTAAGACATACATGGATGCAAGACGCTCATATACATAGAAGAAAGAAAGAAAAGTGAAAGTCGATCTCATATAACTTCCTCTTTTTTGTGCTTATAACTATCATTTAACTTTTATACTTTAAAATTACTAATTATGAGACTAAGGAAAAAAGCTTTGAAAATCTTATTTAATATATGTGGTATCTGCATATGTGTGTTCGTTCACATGTGTGGGTATATATGCCCTTGCGAGCGCATACATGCTTCTGTGTGTATGTGTATGTGTGTGTGTGTGTACATCAGAAGTCAATGCAGAGTGTCTTCCACTATCATTCTCTGTTTTTTTGAGGCAGACTCTGTCACCTGACCATCAAGCCCCTAGGTTCCCTCTCAGCACTGGGATTATAGGCCATGCTTCTGTGCCCGTGTAAAGGATGCTGACGATCGGAACGCAGGTTCATGCTTGCACAACCAGCACCTTACCCACTGAGCTACCTCTCTTTCCCACCTTCTGTTGTTTTTTAACGTAGCAATTTTAAATGTAGTAATGTATGGAGCCAGCTATCAATTCGTTAAATAGAGGTTTATGAGCAGTGTAGATTTTGCTAGCAAGAAATTAGGCCTGGTGACAAAGGCCTGTTACCCTAACAGATTGGGATGCTGAAGTAGGAGGAGCACAAGTTCAAGGCCTGCAAAAGCTCCAGAGTGTGTTCAAGTCCAGTCTGAGCAATTTAGCAAGACTCTGCCTCACAATAAAAGGTAAACAGAGGGCTAGGGATAGAATTAAGTGGTAGAGCATATTGCCTAGCATGTACAGGGCCCTGGGTTCACCTCCAATACTGAAAGAAGAAAACAAAAGTAAAGAAATAAAGAAGGAACCCGGAGAGATGATTCACCAGTTAGGAGAGCTTGCAGCTCTTTTGGAGAACCCAAATTCAGTGCCCAGCACCCATGAGGTGGCTTACAACAAACTCTAACTCCGATTTCCAGGAGATCGATGTTCTCTTCTGTTTCCCACAGGCATCTGCATGTACATGGTACACATATGTACACATAAAAAATAAATCCTTAAAGGGGAATTAAGAAATTGAGAAATACAGTAAATTTGTGGGTTCTTTGCACTAGAAATCCATGTCTTGAGGCTGCTCACAACGTCCCTCAAAACTAAGTACCAGTGTCTGTGGTGGCCAGGCATGTGGGGCAAGCTTTCCTTCTCCTTCAGCTCTCCTGTTCTCTTCATTACCTCATAAGAATGCTACCATGGGAAGCTTTGACAGATGCTCCCAGCACAAGGTTGCCTTTGAATGTAATTTGTTTGTGTTTGTTTTTTGAGACAGGGTTTGTCTGTGTAGCCCTGGCTGACCTGGAACTCACTCTGTAGACCAGGCTGACCTTGAACTCAGATCCACCTGCCTCTGCTTCCCAAGTTCTGGCATTAAAGGTGTGTGCCACCACCACCCAGCATGGGATGCACAGGCCACAGTGTTTACGTGGAAGTCGGAGGACAACCTGTGGGAGTTGGTTGTCTCCACATGAATCCAGGGATCTACCTCAGGTCATCAGACTTGACAATTGAGTGGAAAAAAGAAATAAAAAAGGAAAGATGTGCCAGATGAATGAAATGGGTGCAGTAAAGAAACCAGAATAGCTGCTCCATGAGTTAAAAGGGAAAAAATTGATCCAAACCACCAAGGCTGTGTCTTGGGAAAGTGTGTGTGTTGGAGGGGACTGGGGGGATTAGTGGATGGGATTTCCAGGGTTTTAAGGGAACAGGTACCTGGAAGGAGGGAACCTGTAAATTAAAGTGGAGGACTTCAATACTTTAAAGGTACTTGTGAGTAGGGATTGAAGGAACTAGAATAAAAGCTAGCATGACCTTGAGAGGCTAGTAGGTGTCACAAGCATATACTAATAATGGAAGAGCCCTTTTTCCAGGGATGAAGAGAATGTTTCCTTTTAGCAGATAGGGACTGTTTTCCTCAAGTCCCAGAGGGGATGTTGGCTTTGTCTAAATGCCAGACTTTGGGAAAAGAGATTTCTTGGAACTAGACAGCAGCAAGCACCTTTATCTGCTGAGCCGTCTCGCTGGCCCCTTGTGGTTTTTAAGGTAAGAGACATATTTCATCAGGATTGAGCAAAACAGTTAACAAAAGATCCCATGATAACCTTATTGAGGAAAGCTTTAGCCAGTTCAGGGTCTGGGTGCAAGTGACTTATATCGGGATTCCTGAAGGAGGCAGGAATTGAGAGAGGTTAAGTTTCCACACAAGCAACCAAGATTATTCTGCTGGAGCCCTGCGACAACTTGAAATACTTCTACAGAAGCATGACAAATCTGAGCTACTAATTCCTTACTGCGTCCAGCCTGTTCTGAATAAGGATCAAGTCTCTCTCTAGTTGGGTTGCCTGCAGGTACAGTCAGGAAGCCGCACCAGTGTGACTGTAAGCAAATCTAAGAGGAGATGGAGTTACTCTAAATGGGCTTATTTTTTAGTTTAGGTGTTTGGGAATTAGTAAAGGTGATTATACAATATTGTATATATACTAAAATCCACTGAATCAGACATTTCAAAGGGGTCACTTTGATATGTGAATTATATGTCAAAGTACATCTGGGTGTAAAAGAGAGAGTATGTCAAAGCAGCTCGTAAGCATCTCTCACCCCATTCAGCCTTGATCGTCATGTGTTAGACTCCTCTGTCTGAGGGCAGTGTCTGGTAGTCTTTTTTTTTTTTTAAACAATAAAATAGACAAAGGAAAATAGCAACTAGAAGGTTCCCAGGACAAGCTATATTCTTTACTGCTGGAAACTGTACTGAAGCCATGGGGAATTATTTTTATCTCCCTCCTTTTCTGTTTTTTTTAATATTTATTATTATATATACAATATTCTGTCTGTGTGTATGCCTGTAGGCCAGAAGAGGACACCTGACCTCATTACGGATGGTTTTGAGCCACCATGTGGTTGCCGGTAATTGAACTCAGGATCTTTGGAAGAGTAGGCAATGCTCTTAGCCACTGAGCCATCTCTCCAGCCCTCCTTTTTCTGTTTATTCTAAATTTCCCCTTCAACTAGCCCTTCCGTTGATCAACCCTGCTCACCTTGTCCCGAAATATCATCAAGCATTCCTGTGAATACTTCTTGTCCCCAGCTCTGCATGATAATTGAGTTGTCACCCTCTTCCAGTGTGGCCACTCCTCCCCTGGGCTGCTTGTTTAGTCCATGAAGAGTCCAGAGTAAGAAAGCAGCAGCAAAGTGGAGCACTGGAAACCAGGAACAAACACTTCTTTCCATACTGATTGGAGGTGAGTGGGCACAGGTCTCCAGAACCACCAACAAGACTTAACTAGTCTTCTTTCAAACAAGGACATGTTCCAGGTGATGGGAAGTGACTCTCCTGTAGGAAAGGAATGGGAGCTTCATCTGTGTGACAATAGAGTTCAGGGGAATTTGGGAAATCAAGGTCTACCCGGATAGGTCTCATTCCTTCCCAGCTAGAGCAGTGGATCAGACAAGGACTTCCAGGCATGGAATTTGGTCTTCTTTATAACCTTTATGGTCCCTGAACTTGATTTTGAGCACATTTTGCTGCCTGTATGCTGAATGCATCTAAATGTTTCTGGGACATCTGAGGTGATAGAGACTAACCAGAATCTGCCTTTTTCTTTATCTCATTTTTTTGGTTTTTGGTTTTGTTTCGGGGAGGGGATGGTTCAAGGCAGGGTTTCTCTGTGTAGTCCTAGATGTCCTGGAACTTGCTCTGTGGAGCAGGATGGCCTTGAGCTCACAGAGATCCACCTGCCTTTGCCTCCCAAGTGCTGGGATTAAAGGTGTGTGCCTTCACTGCCTGGATTCATCCCAAATTTTAAATTGTGAATTGGTGCCCACAAAGTTCTTTTCTAGGGATATTTCTGGATCAGCTTTGCTATTTGGATTTCCTGCAAATTCCTGAGTTTTTGATGTAAGTAGTCTACTTGGGAGGTGATTCCAGGAAGGACGAGGGCATAGGGTGAGGGGCGGGAAAGAAGAATGTTACCACTGGGGAATACCATGCTCGATCTCACTGAGGAGTGAGGATACTGGGAATGTGCCCTCCTTTATGGGGATGAGGATTGTCCCTGGATTGCTAAACCTCAGCACTAATTGGGCCAGGCTAAACAAAAAACATTCCTGGTACCTGGGGCTAGCCTGTCTTTGTGATTCAGTGTGAAGTCCGTTTTACATGTTCCGTTTATTGTTTTATTTACATGGTTTCTCTGTGTGTCCCTGGCTGCTCTGAACCTCAGTTTGTAGATCCACCTGGCCTCAAACTTAGAAATCCACCTGCCTCTGCCTCCTCAGTGCTGGGACTAAAGGCGTGCACCACCACTAACCAGCTATACATGTTCAATATAGACACTGAGGAAATTGAACTGCTTTCAGCAAAAGTACTGTCTAAAGCCACAAGCCAAACTCATCTAGATTATAAAAATCAAATATTTCCTATAAATTAATTGCTTAATATTTAATTTCTCCATGTGACCTGGCTACTAAAACAGTTCTAATATAAAATGAAATTTCCTTACCTCTGGAGAAGCAATTCGTGCATAATTTTATTCCTTCATAGTTACTCAACATAATTACAAATGCCAATAACTACCATATACTTCAGTATTCTCAAGGAGAGCTGTTTGACCCTTTAATAAGTCTGTAAGCAGAAAAACAGTTCTCAGAATTGCTGTATATCCCTTTTATGGTTTACCTACTCCCGGTCCTATTAAGCTGCGCACTTTTAAAAAATGGTTTTACCCAATGTGTCGATCTCTGTTTTAGTTTCTAATGTGGCCTTTGAAAACAGACAGCTTTTAGGATTGCATGTACATCCAGAATGTACCTTTTAAGGAACTAATCTTCCTAAGAGTAAAGTATACAGGATATTCGTTGTAGCACAGTTAATAAAAACCCAAAGACAGAAATTGGGGTTCAAACTGAAGGTCAGAAAAAGCAAAACAGCCATTGACTCTTACCTCTACCTCAGATAAAACAGTG